GCGAGAGCAGCCCCAGGGAGCGGGGCCCGGCCCGTGCAGAGGGAGGCGGCGGATGGGGTGACACCAGGCCCGTGGCGGGGGGTGACACGGCCCCGAGGGCGCCCGCGCAGGCGCCGGGAGAGGCGCGGGATGCGGGATGCGCCTGCGGCACTCGGCATCGAGGGATGGAGCCAGGGAGACGGCTCCGGGATGGAGCCAGGGAGACGCGGGGACGAGGGCGACACTCGAGGGCCGTGAAGCCACGTGGGCAGCTCCAACCAAACTGCAGCCGGTTCCGCAGGGACAAGCCCAGGAGCCGGGATCCTGCCTGCCCTGCCGCGTTGCTCCCAGCTAAGGCAACTGGAAGTGGCAAATAAATCCCCAAAACCTTCCCATGGACAACTCCTCAGCAAGGAAGCCCCAGCCTCACACAGTGCACACCAGCCCACTCATGCCCGCAAGAGAACATTACACTGAAACAGATCTCTTAATTACTAACTGCTTGCTAATTACTGATTACTAATGCTGCTAAAAAACGTGGACATTTAGGGAAAGTCTCTGGCCTCTCAACAGCAGACTGAAGGGACAGGGACACTGTGACAGAGGTTGGCAGAGGTAACGTGTCCCCAGCTCAAACCGCTGCCCGACAACACCAATAAAGCGACCGAGGATCAAAAGAACCTTCTCCATCCTGCAATTTTAGTATCAACTCCCTTTTCTCTGTGAAAGCCCTTTCAAAAGGTTAAAAATAAAATTTCTTTTCTATAGCGATTTCTATTCTTTCCTATTAAAGAGGAAAAAAAAAAAAAAGGAGGGAGGGGACCAGAAACTTGAGCTTAACGAGTCCTCGCAGGGCAGCACTGTTCCCTATCACACACGGCCCTGCCTTTTTTCCTGTCTTTGTTCAAAACGTCCAAGCAACAGGACCAATTCTCCCAGCGGCTCCTTCCACATCCTGAACGAGCTCCCAGCTAGGGAGACAATCGCCTAAAGCCGCTTTTAGTGCCCAAAATAATAATAGTAAAAGCCTTTTTAATGGGTATCAGCTGAAAGCAGGAGCGATCTGCTTCCTGGGAGCGCATATTCCCTCCGCAAGGAGCTTTGGGATGAACAACCTGAGACACTGCCGGTGACGAGGGTACAAAAACGGTGTCCGACGCTGCGGTGGGAGCAGCTCTAAGGGAGAGATGCAGCAGGAAAACCGGATCCTTGGCTGTTGGTTTTTTAATTTCTACCCTGGTTTCTGAGCTCTTCAATCAGCCAAAACTCGTGTTTTTGGACTTTTGGCTTCTAAGAGACTTTTAAATGCAAGTTCGTTCTCTATAATCACAGGATTCCAGGAGCCGAACTTAGAAATTGCAAGAAAGAGTAAAATGGGGAAGGTTAATGAAGCTGTAGTGGAAGCAACTATTTCAACTTGCTTCATTCTGTAAGGAGAGTTGAAGAAATGGGATTGTTCAATGTAAAATAAAAGTGAAATAAAGCAAACGTGAGCTCCTTGTGTTACGTAAAGAGCATCACACAGGGAAGAGACCAAGATGTTCCCCACGTGCGCTGGATTTGGGGACAAGGGGACTTCACCTGCAGCAGGGATGCAGGGTAGTGCACGAGTGGGAGCAGGACAGAGTGCTCCAAGTTATTCCAGAAAATTCACAAGGGGACATGTTCAGATTCATGAGAGTGCCATGAATCCTGGGTCCCCTTTTCCTCCACCTTCCTTCCAGAGGTGGAAAGTTGATCAGCTGTTTTTCCTTGGGATTTAGGGAGGGAAGCCGAACTGAACTTGGTTTTTCCTGTTTCGGTCACTGTAACTCGAATATCATGACGGGATCCATGTAAAAGCTCAGGAAACCTCCAGCCAAAAGACAAGAGGGGCTTGAACTGCCACAGGGCTCTGCTGCTCCCTGCACTGGGCAGCGCTGGGCAGAGCGGCAGGGACCACAAGGGTGCAAAGGCCAAAGCTGATGCCTTCCCACCTCCGAAAATACTGCAAATATTGGGTTTTGTTGAGTTTGCTTTGCTCTGTGGGTACCAACCTGGAGTTGGCTCTGGCTTTCATATCTTACGGCTTCTTTCATGTAAGCTGGAAACAACTGCGAAGTCCGGCCCCATCTCCAGGGGCGGGATGGGCTGCTCCTGATCCAGTCGCTCTCTATCCAGGCGGCTAAGCCGGGGCAGGCAGGACACGGATGGCGCAGGATGGCAGCCCTGCGAGCCCGGTGTCCTGGCCTTGTCCCTGCCGCAATGAGCGCCCATCAGTGCCGCGAGCGCGGGGAGAAACCGGCCCCTGCACAGCTCACACGCGCACGGCTTTAAACCCCATTAAGGACTTCAATTACTAAACACAAAAGGATAAACATTTTTCTTCTCAAAACCAATTATCTCCCTGCTATTTATATGGGCGCAGGCAGCATTCCCCCTCCGCCGGGACACGGAAACCCTGCGGCCAATTCAACGGCCCCTCGGTCGGAGCGGACACGGCCCCACGAGCCCGTTGCTCATCTCCCCCGCACCGCGTTGCTCAGCGAGGCGCCTCCTTCCCTGCTCCCCGGCTCACATTCACCATCTCCCTTTTACAAACCGAAGCCACTGACTCACAGGAAGGGCCAGGGCAGCGTTTTCAAAGGCAGCTGCCGCCTCCGTATTTCGCTATGGAAATAAGTGGTCTCTTTGCTCCCCGGCTCGCTCTGCATTGAATGGTGCTCCCAAGTTTTCCTCGGCCAAGGTCGCTCGCCAACGGCCAGCGCCTTCCCTTGGATCCCGCTCCGGGAACGGAGAACAGAGGCTGCAATGGGAGCAGCGCTGCTCCGAGAGGCTTCCCGGGCCTCGTGCGCTTGGAACTGCCTCTCCTCCCGCCAGCCCAAGGTGGAAAGTGTTTAAAAAAAACAGGGGAATCTGCCTTCTGCATGGGGGGGGGAACCTCCACGCGTTCCTCCTTGGATAGCAACCTTCCCGGCAGCTCCTGCCTCAGGTTCAGCGCCCGCTCGCCCCACGGATGGGCCTGGATGAGACGCAACCTGCTGAGGAAGAGGAGCAGCGGCGGGCTCCGCCCCTTTCCCAGGGGCCTCCTTGT